ATATACATTTGTTTCTTAAGATATCGAACTTAGTAATTACAATTGCTCACAAACATAGATTGGAAGTGGTACCGGAAAATGAATTAAGCTCTAATTCACATGCAAAGTGGTCCATGAAATTGAGTTATATTATAAGAAGCAGGCCGGTACAAACTATTTGAGTGCCTAAAGCAAAAAAAAATTTGGCCCATTAAGAAAAACTGTTATAAAAAAAAAATACAAGTTTCAACATGTTTGGGATTCGAAACCGTGACCTATACAACAAAAGACTTCAAACTAACCACTAGACCACAGTAACATTTTAAAAATTGATGCCCTTAAATCTACTTATAATTATTTGATGCCTAAATCCTTTGCTTCATGGACTTTAACTATGGGCCGGCCCTGAGAAGCACTATGGTTAAATCATGCTTAAGACAAACCAATAAACACGTGTTTTTTCTAAGCTTCCAAATCTTTGAAGTTTCTATCGTACCACAACAAACTATTTGTAATTTATAAAGCTGATGTTATGCCACGTCGTCAAGACAAAGATGGAGGCATTCGCCGACGGAGAGAAATTAACAGAAGTCAGTGTCATCATTTCATTTACTGATTTACATGAGGACGTCGCTGAAATCAAAATTGCAATTAAACACGATTAGTGATAATCGTTTTTTAATCACCAACGTTAATCAATATTCTCCGTTTCAAAATATAAAGCGTTTTAGTTAAAAGCACGCCGATTAAGAAGATCTACTTTTTAAAAGTTCAGCGACTCATAAAAGAGACTGCATAATTTGCATGGAAACTTGAAAACGACTTATATTTTAAAACAAAAAAGTTTCTCCAAAACATCTTAAATTTTGACGGATGGAGTAGTTAGTAATTATAATATCCCTCTAAGAAAACCATTCTATAGAGTTCATTATTATTTTTATTCTTTTTTATCAACAATTTAATATTTTATTTATAAGAAAAGGTATTCGCCTTTTACTTGAGGCAATTCTCGTAACTTTTGGAAAATTGGGTCCACGTTAACGGAATCCTTAAAATGATTTCAAGTTATGTTTTTTTAGTGAAAAACAATTCATGTCATTAACATAGTTTTTTTTTTTTTTTTATCTGGCAGCTTTTAAATAATTATAACAAATTAAATTCAAATTTAAAATTCGGATTGCAACTAGATATTATATTTTTAATATATATAAGATTTCCTTTAATCAAATGCAATCAACAATTGACTTCAGATTTTCTCTGCGATACATTATTTTTTTTAATGTTAGTACGTTTTTGTCTAATTTATCGCATGAAATCTTGGGTTTAAATGGTAACCCATTATAAAAGCAGTACAGAGTGTACAACTTTGATACTTATCAATCACAAAAGCTTTATCAAAAACGTTATTAAAAGTTTGACTCTCAGCTTTTTTGTACAGCTTTTTTTTACAGTTTTGCACTATTCCGATAAATCTTACATCTCCAGCTAACAGCTAAAAAACTTGTACATCTTTTGGTAACCAATCGGACCCCTTATCAAAAACTAAACGCTAAAATAAAAAATCTTAAACCTCAATCTCATAAGATTAATTTGATAAATTAGATTTACAGATAAAATATATTTTATGGGAAATATTCATGCAACTAATAAAAACGTCCAAACGTGTCCAAAAGATAGAACAATAATTATTCTGATATTGTTTTCTATTTTTTTTTATAACTTTGGTATTAGGTGTAAATATGCATTATTATTTCAACAAAATAATTGTGGAAAATACTACATTTTTTCTTTTCAAGCTATCATCTTATTCAGGGAGATTTTATGTCTATGTGATGGTATATATCATTCTTTAGTTCTAAGCAAAGCAAAAGCAATGATTAGAAGTTTAAATAGCAGTTTTGAGTTTTAACGGCAACAATTAAAATAAAGTAAAGTTTGAAAGATAGTTAAGGAGGTGACATGGATTTTCAAAAGATAAAAAGAAGTAATAATAAAAAGGGATTTTGTCTAGTTGAAAAGTATGACCCATGATCCTACTCATGCATAATTACATTGAGTAGGACCTTAACTCAATTTCCACATCTTTTTCTTTTAATGTTTCTTTTCTAATCGAGTTCATATTTCTATCCATATTCTTAGAATCATGGAACTCATATATGAATGTTTTTAGTAGAAGTGAAAATACGATATAATTTAAAATGTTCGTTAATATATGTTAGGTATGCATTCATCTTCCTTCAGTTTTTTTTCCTTTACTTTATGGTCTATTACTGTTTTTCCTTTTTGAACAAAAGTATACTTTTTTTTTTTTTTTTGTAAATTCGAAAATTTGATTATAGTAAAATTCACAACGGTGGAAAGTACCATTATAGTAAAATTCACAACGGTGGAAAGTACCACTAGTTTACCAAGTTTCGACAGTTTGGTTAATTACTTAATTGACTAATTGTTGCAGTCGGTATTCCCTGGAAAACTAATTGCCCTACAAAAAGAAAAACTGTAAAGGAGTTAAAGATATTTAGAGCAATTATGAAAAGGTATTTTGTCTGGTTGAAAAACATGAGCCATGATGTGTTTGGTAATTAATTAAGTGGAGGGAAATAGGAAAAATAATAGTCAATCTTTGATTAGCCACTCTATTCACTAATCAATACTTTTTTTTCGCATCTTCACTTTCTTAAACCTTTCCATCAGTCACTCTTTTTTTTTTTTGATGCAAGTCTATGTCTCAATTATAGGGATCACACTCTCCTTTCTCCGATCTAATCCCTCTTTTCCTTTCCTTTAATTATCTTCCAATATGATGCGTATGTAATACGTGTCAGATTATTATTTGATGCTTTGTTTCTAATTTCATTTATTAACTTTAATAAATTCATACATATAATATACTTGTGTTTTTTTGTCAACCACATATAACTTGTGTTTAAGAATGGGAAAGCATTAGACCAATGGTTCAGACCAAAGAGAAACAAGATTTGCAAGTCGTTTTTGCTTTTAAAAAATTAGTTTGTGATTATATATTGCATCAAAAAAATAATTTGAAGATTTTCATTATTATTTTATTTTTTTGACAAACATGTAATAGTTAATTATGGCCAAGTATAGCATTCGAATATAGTTGTGATGAGAAAAAATTTCCTATTTTATTTATATACTAGTGTTTGAACCGTGCTCTGCACGGGCGAAAATAGCATTAGTTTCTCTATTGAAGATATATTGCAAGGTAAAAGAGAACTAATTTCATAGTCGGGATGAGAAACCTAGTTATTGTGTAAATTAGAAGGAAACAAAATCTTTGAACTTTCAAAAAAAAAATTTATTTCGAGAAAAGTTGCAGGAAAACAGAATTTAAAAAAAAAAAAGATGTGGAAGTTTTTTTTTTTTTTAGGGGAAGCAAGAGATCGTGGGTGGTAGTAGGGGGGGAGGGGTGATGGGGAAAAGTCAATTTTGATTTTAATCGTAAATTAGTGTAAAAAAAGAAAAAAGTGAAAGTACATAATTTAAGACTTAACACACGTGGTTGAAAGATAAGGGTGCAGTTATTAGAGAAGTGACTTGTGATTTATTAAATAAGGATATATATATAATTTGGATCTCTAATTTTTTAAATTAAGCTTTTAACACATTAAATATATGTTTAAGTAAATATAAATTTACATCATGCATTTAAAATAGTTTGAACCCCCTCAAAATTTATCTTCATCGAAATTTTTAATGTGCAAAATAAACACTATTTGGGCCTCTCTTTACGCTATTAATTTTATTATTGACTAACCATTTAGACCCATACATATTTAAACTCCAATAGAGGCTCTAAAAGGCTAGATATTGTTCATCTAAAACCTAGCCTATGCTAATCGGTAATCACATTAAGCTTTAACAGGTAAACAGAGCCCAATAATTAGCTTTACATATTAGGCCCAATGAGCTTTACGATCTGATGGAGTCACGTGGTCTCGAGAGCCAGCGAATAGTCGCCGTCCCAGCATGTTCAACCAAAAATTACTTTTTTCACTTGGCACATGATAAATAAAGATGGCTAAAAAAACCGATTTTTACTATTTTTGTAAATTCAAAATCGATTGAGAATCTATTTATATCCGATGCAAACAATAATAAGTTAAACCAATTAAGAAGAACTTCATTTTTTCTTTGTAATGTTGAATCTCATCTTTTGGTTACAACTTCCAATACATTTATCTTCTTCTAACTGCATTGTTTCTAGGTAGATCCTAAATTATTTTGAGTTTACAAATGGCGTAAAATCGGTTTTCTAACCATCTTTATTTATCACGTGGGAAAAAAGTGGAAAAAGTAACAATGTTTACAATTTTATTAACGCTTTTGATAACCGTTACGACTAAGAGTGGAATCAGAACAAAAAAAAAGTATTGCCTTTTATTACATAAATAAATTAATCTGTATATTTTTCTCGCAACAAAAAAAGTTTAGGTATTTTTTTGTCTTTACTTTAGTCCGGTCGATATGTTGTATGTAATGGAAATAAATGAACACATTTTCCAAGTTTTTTTTGAGTTACTCATTTTAACAGTATTTTTTTTTTGTCAGGATGTTTTGAACCAAAGTCTGTAATCTTCCCAGACCCGAAACCACATAATGTAATATTAGTTTCGTTCCAAGCGTCACTATTTTTACAGTATTATATATGATAGCTACTTGTAGAAATCTTAATTTAGAAAAGAAAAAATCTTTTAGTTTAAATTTCCCATTGTCCTCAGATTTTTTTGGGTAGGCTCTTTGGAAACTCCCTACAGCAATGTCCTCACCATTTCCAGGTTCTTAAAATTTGATTCAATAGTAATGTGTAGGTTAAATAATGTAAGAGTTGGAATTTATTAGATTAAGAAACTTCCTTACAACATGAAGGAATAGAAAAACTAATGAAAAGAAATATTAAAAAAACAACTTTGCTTTGACACTGTGATAGTCCACAGCTATATAAACATCTTAGAGAAATTTAAAAGCTGAAGTTCCAACTTTTAGATACAATGTTTAAGTTATACCACGAAGATAAACTTATACATTTGGTTGTAGTAGAAACTTTGCGCACATTTGTTGTCGAGGTCTCTGACATAAGCTTGTTGCTTTCATTTTGTTGAAGTGATATGAATTAGTACTTTCTCTTTCTTGCAACTCTAATCCCATGTAATGTGGCTTTGATGTTTTTCCAGCAATTGTCAACCATGCTTGTGCCTTCGGTCCATTTTAGCTGGCTGAGATAGTTTTTCCCTTCTTCGGTTCTTCCCGCGCTGAGTAATAATATGGCATACAAGTAGACTGCTTCTATCTTCCCTGAATTTGCTGCCACGCCCAAATAGTAGAGACCTACGATAGAGTCATTAAAGAGGAAGGATCGTATTACACTTTTAATACAGTTAGCATATGGATTGTTGTTTGCAAGACATTTTTTCATGAGGAGAAGGTATTTGATTGATTATAACGGTTTTTTCACCAATGGAGCGAAGTCGAGTGTTTTGAGCACACGCTCGTCGTTAGCCGATGCGCCTAATTCTTTGCAGTTGTGGTAATCTTCGGCGGAGGTAGAAGCCACTTTTGAAACTATGATGCCCAACAGATCTCGAGGAAGCATTTCAAGTTGACTTATTTCAACTTTGTTTGGATCCATATTTTATAAATCGAACTATAGTAAGATTGCAAATTGTGATATTTTTTTATTTCAATGATTTAAATACATGTATCACATATGTGAGCCATCTTTCATTTTCATGAAACGTCCAAATTAACTGTTTTAAGTAATGTTTTAGTGCATAATTTATTTTTGGATCTAATGGCCATGTTCTCCACTGTCAAAAGTCATAATTGTTAATACATTAGAACCTCTATAAATTAATACTCGATAAATTAATAAACAAAATTAAATAATAAATTTTGTCAGTCCCGAGTTGGGCCAGTGTAATAATTAATCAAATTCGATAAGATAATATATTTTTTTAAAATCTCAATAATATCATAAATTAATAATCATATAAATAATATATATGTATATATATATATATATATATATAAAATAGAATATACTAATGCATGATATAATTAGTTTTCTAAGAATTAAGTTTTTGTTAGAGATTGTCTCTAACTTTTATTATATAAAACAATGTTAGTTTTTGTTTTTGTTAGGCTTTTGTTTTTTTTGTGCCTTTAGTATAATGTGTTGTATTATATTTTATGATTACTTAATAAAAATAACTAACTTTTTCCATAATTTTTGTGAATATGGATAATTTTCAATTTGATAGTCTTTTATGATGTTAAAATATGAGACACGAAGTCATTGATCAGAAATTTGAATTTATGTATATCGTTTGTATAAGTGAATTTCCTTATAATCTTTGTAACTTATGGCTGAAAAAACGTTTTTCTAAATATCAAATCAAAAGTCCATAATTTAAGATCCAAAACATCAATTTCATATTTTTTTTAGAAATTTATAAAGTAAACCAAATCTCTCTATAAAATTTATAATATTTATCAATTTATACGATAAATAATAATTATGAATTTCTAAATAAACTAATATCACTATAAATTAACAAAATATCATGGTATCCCAAAATTGTTAATTTATAGAGGTTTTAATGTACTCTTAGGGCTTGATTGGTTCTCCCGCTAGCACCCTCCTAGCGGTTGCTAGCGGTCGGTTGCGGTTGTTAGCGGTTGGTACCAATCATAGAAACCGCTCCGTACCGCTTCAAACCGCTCGAAATCGCTGAATTTCAAAAGCTCCTTCCCGCAAGCGTTTGCGGTTGCGGGCGGTAGCGGTTGGATTTAAAAAAAAAAAAAAAAAAAAAAAAAAAAAATCAAACGTTTACTTATAATTATTATAAAATATATTAATCTTATATATATCTTTCATCTTTGTATCACGTTCTCATCAGAAACCCTAATCAATATTCTAAAACCTTATTTTCTCAATGTCTTCCACCCAAACTGATGAAAATCAATTTGAATATTTTTTTCTTTCATTATATATGGCTTTTCTTTTGGATTGAATATATGTTTCGATTGGTTTTCTCGAATAGAAAATTACTTGCTTTTGGATTGAATTCAACGTTATTTACAGTTTGTCCCATTACTTGATACAATTTTTGGTGTTAACGACCCAGCATAAAGTACTATCTTATTATAAAAAATTTTTATTTTTGAATAATTATTTAGTACTTTATTTATGGTTTTAATTATTAAGCATGTTCAATTTTTCTAATATTATCATAATAATATATTGGTGTTTTTATTTCTTTTTTTTTGTAATATTTTTTATTTTTTTAGTCATTTTTTATTTAACTGCTACCGCACCCGCTGGTTTACCAGTCATAAAACTTCCGCAAATGCATCCATTTTCAAACGCTAAACCAGTCGTTCAAAACGCTTGGTAACGCTTGAAACCGCAACCGCCCGCTTCCGCAAACTCCCGCAACCGCAACCGCAACCGCTGCGTTTAAACCAGTCAGACCCTTAAACTGCTATATAACTTGAGAAATTGTTATAAATACCTTTTTTTGAATACTCTTTTGCAAAAAAGTCCCTTTTCTAATCATTTTCATTTGTCCTCTTTTAATATATTGACCATTTTACCCCAATTTGAAAATTATTTAAGTCAATAAAATGAAAATTTTGAAATTTTCAGCCAAAAAAATTTCCGACAAAAAATTTTCCGCCACATTTTTTTTTGCAGGAAACGTGATCCCATGAATTTTTGCGAGAAAGGGTTTTAAAAAGATTTACAAGGATTTTAAAAGGTTCTGAAAAGGATTTAAAGGGTTTTCAAAGGGTTTTAAACTTTTAATAGGATTTACAAGGATTTTAAAAGAGTTTCAGAGGATTTACAAGGGTTTTAAGAGATTAGCAAGAGTTTCAAAAGGGTTTTAAAAAGATTTACAAGTGTTTTAAAAGAATTTACAAGTGTTTAAAAGCATTTTACAAAGTTTTTAAAGATTTTAAAAGGATTTACAAGGGTTTTAAAAATATTTTATAGGGGTTTTAAGAGGATTTACAAAGATTTGAAAAAGATTTATAAGGGTTTAAAAGGATTTATAAGGTTTTTTTTAAATGATTTTATAAGGGTCTACAAGGGTTATTAAATGGTTTTAAAGGATTTTCAAGGGTTTCAAAAGAGTTTTAAAAATACAATTCTTTTAAAGATTTTACAACGATTTACAAGCTATGTTGCATGGAAACTCTCTCCGAATCCGTTTCCCATTTTGGAAACGTTTCAGAAACGAAAACTCTTCGGAAACACGAAAAAGGTCACGGAAACGCGTTTCCTAAAAATCTATATTTGGAAACGCGACAAATCCTTTTTATTGACTTTGGAAGGTAGTTTGTAGTGGGCATTCCTATCTGACCGAGTTGCTAGTATAATATAACTAATTTTGGAAGACTCTGAGTTTTAAGATCTTTCTCTCGACAAACCAGATTTGGAGGCACCTCTATATGATATTTGATGAGACTAATGAAAATGAGAATGAAAATATTACTCTCAATTAAATTTTTGAACTTGAATCTTTTAATCTTTATCTTTTAGAATTTTAAGTAACCTATTTAATATTTGATGTTTTAAACTTGTATTCTTTAAGTTTAAACCATTTTTTTAACATAGTTTTATGTTAATGTTATATATATATATATATATATATATATATATATATATATATATATATATGTGTGTGTGTATACGTTTCCAATCCCTAACTTTAGAACAAAATCGTTCTCCGTTTTTGAAACGTTTCGATTACGCGTTTCCGTTTCCGTTTCTATGCAACATAGTTCACAAGAGTTTTTAAAAGATTTTATGAGGGGTTTTAAAGGATTTACAAGAGTTTTAAACAATTTTCAAGGATTTTATAAGGCATTTAAAAAGATTTACAAGGGTTTTAAAGGATTTTATAGGGATTTTAAAAATATTTTACAAGTTGGCGGGAAAATATTGGCGCCAAAATTTTTGACGGGAAATTTTTTGACCGTTACAAAAAATGTTCGGCAGGAAAAATAAATTTTGGTGTTAAAAAATGGTAATTAATTTAGTTATTTTGTACATAAGAAGGGATATTTTTAAAAGTGGACAATAAGAGGGGGTATTTTTGAAAAAAAAGCATAGGAAATGGTGTATTTTTGCAAATGCGCCTAATAACTTTGTGATATTATTTTATACTCCCTCTGTTTTAAATGATATGATGTTTTAGTTAAAAACACACAATTTAAAAAAATTATTTTTTTCTTTTAAAACTTTCATTTAACATTTGATTTAAAAAAATTCACCCAATGAAATGCAAGACTACAAAATATAAATAGTCATAAAATATCAAATTATTTATAATTTGCATAGAAAGTTGTAAAACATCATATATAATGAAACAAAATAAAGTCTCTAAAACATCTTATATTTTGAAACAGAAGAAGTACTTTGTAATTTATTTTTCTTTTCGTTTTATTATATGATTATTTTAGTCAGTTAGACAACTATGATCGATAAGACCTCAATAATTTAAACTAAATTTTGAATAAGCAAATTTGTGTGGGAAACTTTGTTGCTAATACATACATGTTCAACATATAAAATTTGTGTTTAAATAATAGATTATAAAATAATAAAAAATTAAAATCTATAGACTTAGTTGGTTATGTTTATATTTTGTATATGTCATTGTCTAAAACATAGATTATTAATTAACAGATAAAGTTAATTTAAATAATACAAATCATTGATTAAACATTATTTACGTTTGATTCAACGTAATGATGATCAAATACCATTTACAATAAGTCAATTGATTTTTGTATCTAATGCCCATGTTTTTATAAAAAAAAAAAAAAATTCTTATGCCCATGTTATCCACTATCACAGTCTTAATTGTTAATACTCTTAAAGTTGCTAAATAACTTCGTGATATTATTTTATAGTTTGTAATTTATGTATCTTTCCATTTTTATTATATGATTATTTTATGAATATTGGAAAAAAGTAATTATTTTATTATATGAATATTTTAGGATATAAAGGAATTGCTTGGCAGTTAAATCATCAATACAGCTTGGTTACTCGTCTCTTGTTCCTCCATTTCCCTACAGTTAGTGTTTTAGATAAGAAATCCTTTCGAACTTGAAGTCTTGAATTGCTGGAAACAAGATGCATAAGGTATTTTAATAACTTACGTCCTCGAGGATGAGGGTAGCTGCAGTTCTGGTGGTAAGCTTTGTCATTTGGTTGTCAAAGACCACAAATGTTGCCTCGTCATGACTATCATGAACAGCGATTTCAACTCGGTACCTGGAAAATATGTAATATCTGGATGATTCTTTTGTTTTTCAGAGTTTGATAAAAAAAGTCTTTTAGTGTACCTCACAACTCCGGTGACACTTGGTGAAACAAATTTGTTGCAGCGTAAAGCATTTCCAACTTTGTCCACTTTTTGGCTACACCCAGTACATGACACGTAAGACCACACATTCTTTTGTAGTACGCTTAACACCTCAGCATTATAGAAGAAATCTGCATCCTCTGTCTTTTGAAAGATGGTAGACGAAACATTAGACTTGATTTGAGGGTAGTGAATTTTGGAAGCTAATTATGTAGAAAATATTTGTAATACATGTTCATCAGCTTTAAATATGAATTCATGAAACTGATGAATGGACACTAATTCTTTCTTTCGCAATCCAGCCGCTGTATCAGCACGTGCAATAGCCTCTCCACCTTTTATTTCCAAGCCTGCATCCATTAAGCAATATAAGGGTTTTAAGAGTGTGTTTATATAAGTGACTTAGGAGAGATTTAATGATAGCAACCTAACCTTTTGATAAACTCCTAGATTGGCTGAATGCTTGTGTAAAAAAAGAATCGTGTTGCGGATGTGGAGTTGAGATAAAGTATCCTTAAACAGTAAGAATGAG